TTTAAAGTTATCAAGTTCAGCCCCTTGGTGCAAATGGTTTTCACATATGGCCCCATGAAAGTTTTTGGCACGGAAATGGCTAACTCGGGAACCAGAAAAGCCCGGAAGCTGAAATTTTCAAGGAATTTTTCCAACCCATGTACGGCTTAAATTTATCAAATTCAGCCCCTCCCCTCCTACCCCTCTCCCCCTCCGGGCATGGCCTCGTGAATATTTTTGGCAGGTAAATTACTAATTCAAGAAAAAATTTGGAAAACTGAAATCTCAGCGAAATGTTTCCTGTCCAAATACCGCGTAGACAATTAAATTCCCAAACTTTGAGGACCAGTATATCACACATTTCTAGCTGCTGGGTTTCCGAGCGATCTCAATACGATGCGAAATATTGCAAAAACGCATGATCGCAGGGGCCAGTCCGGTGCGTGTCGCCAATGATTTTATATTTGCAACTTGCAGCAATCCAAATGCTACAGCTGCAACTTACCAGTTGCAGCACATCCAGATCTCTAAAGGGCAAGAATGGAAATTCAATGATACTAGGCAGCTGACCAAAACTAACAAGGAACGCATATTGCAGAATTCCAGTCGAGTTAAGAATACATATTGCGAGAAATTCATCCAGTGCATGCTCAGTCAGTGCTAGCCTTGTCAAGTAAAACATTTTCGGTATATCTGATCAGCACTAAGGCCAAAAGACACAGTTGCGAATTCGTCAGCAGATTTTTGAGGAATGGCTTGAGAAGTGGGCAAATATGGCAGAGAAGTTGCCTGCAGGTTCGTTTTGATCTCTTTTATTAATCGGGCAGTATGGTGAATTGGGAGGTGGTCTTTTGTAGAAGTGTATTTTCAGATTCTTGTGTAGTGTGCAATTCTCAAAAATATTTGGGGCTTCTGGTTAAATTTCATACTTTTTCTCACCCGGAACTTCCATGATACCAATAATAATTCGAAAGATAACTAACTGCAGGGCGAAGCGAATGCCTGTGCCAGCACAAAATGAGAATTATGTTTCTGAGAAAGAAAGCACGTATTTCTTTTTCAGGAACCGTATGTGTGGTGTGTGAAGATTTGGCGACAGGGAATCATTACAACGTACCGTCGTGTAATGGATGTAAAACTTTCTTCCGGCGTGCTGTTGTGGTAAGCTTGTTGCTTTAATTTGTTTCCTAAGTAAAATTCAATGTTTAAATATCTCCGGCTATGGACTGCGGATGTGAAAAGACCAAAATGAAATAGAATAATGCTGTGGAGAAGAAAGCAGTTGTTCATCTGCTGACCAATGTAGTAAGACAGCGAAATATTTGCAGAACAATCGAACGTTTGCGTGTCGTGGATCGGGAATGTGCCCTGTCAACAAAGGTTGGTGTATTCATTTACTGATTGGAAAAATGGCAAAAATTATGTTAATAACAGAATCAAAAGAACAATAATAACAACGCCACCAATATTATCGGTCGTCTTAATAATGGTGATAATAATAATAATAATAATAATAATAAT